ATGCCTGGCTCTGGGGGAGAAAAGAGGGATGTTTTGTTAATCTTTTGTTTTTTATTTATTTATTCCCAAATAAAATAACAAAATTTGTTAATTTCATATCAACAAATGTCAATTTTTTGCGTTGCATGAATAATTATATCTTGATGCAAAATCTCAAATTTACAAAGTACAGTAGACTTCCGATAATCCGGAACCTATGGGACCTAGGTGGTGCAGGATTATCAAATATGCTGGACTATCAGCAGGTACTATAAACTGGTTATATATATATACTGTATACATTATATACTGTATATAAACTGTTCTTAACCCTTTTTATTGTACATGCTGTATACAGTATACTGTAATGTTTTAGTTTTTTTAAGCCTTTTTTACCCCGGGAGAGGAAGGGATTATTTTTTTAATATTTTCTTTTTTATGTATTCCCAAATAAAATGACAAAATGGATATTAATTTTATATCATGAATAATTATATCTTTATGCAAAATCTCAAACTTACAAAGTATCTGAAATTTTCACAGAAGCCTGTTCTGTTTGATTAACCATGTTCTATACTTGTTTTTATTTCAACAAAACAAGTTATGCATCATATACAAAATTTAAAAGTACCTTCAATTTATATTTAAATTAAAAATCATGTAAAATTAATTTTAAAATTATTTAATATGAGCAAATAACAATTTTACACATCAAATTATTGTAATATTATACAATATACCTATAAATAATATATAATAATAAATAACTATGACTTTCCAACAAAGTAAATTTTCTTTGGTAGCCTTGTGACCAGTGTTGGTGCCTTCTGCCTTTTTTTTTTTTCTTTTTCTCTCAACAAATCGTCAATCATTTTGGGAACCCTAGGCGGCCCTGAAAGCTATCAGTTTTCATTTGTGCGGCCCTCAGTAGGCTTCAAGTTTGACATGCCTGCTATACAATAACAGCCAGTTTTGCTAGTAATATTTGAGGACATCAGCAATACAGAACACTTGTCTATTGGATGGGTTTCCTGTTGTTTTATGTCCCTTCACAGAAATTAGTTAGGGTGAAAATGGTAATTGTTTGTGTGCAAACTCATCGGGATAGGAAGGCGCAAAGCCTTTTTAGTTAAGGACATGCCGCTGTGGAAGATATTGGGGTATCTTTCAGGACTAGGATTCAGTCTCTCTCTTTTTTTTTCTCCCTTTTGTTTATTTTGATATTGTCTGAGCATTGCAGGGGAGGGGGAGAAGGAGTTCTCAGCTTGGCTCTACTCCACTGAGGTAGCCAATAAATGATGCCTTTTCATTATAAGTCTTTTTCTTTTCTTTTTTTTTTTTTTTTTTAAAGAGAGCCAAAAGATTTTTGGCATGAGTATCTATAGATTAATAATTAAATATAAGTAATAGTATCCCATGGCATGCATATCAGTGATGTGGCATGTTGTAGAATAGATACATCTTGTGTAATGATACTGCAAATTTATCATACACCACAATCTACTGTAAGTGGAGCCAACAATGTATGTTTGACATGCCTTTCACCTCACATTCACTCATAGGGCAGGCCACAAAACACTGCAGCCTCCCGTTTAGGCTGCCTCATTTCACTAGTATGTGTTTGCTCAAGTCAGAAGTATGAATTTATAAGTGCTAGTCCCCAGTGAATCATCTATATTTTTCAGTTTGTTTACACTGAGACATTTATTTTCTTTTATCATTTCAGAATGCTGCTCTGAAGTAAATGGCTACAGCTTATTGTTTCTGTAATGTACATATGATACTTTATTTGTGATGTCATCCCTTATGGTCAGACCATTACCTCCGTTCTGTTTTCTCTCAGCACAAATAACATGCACAATAAGCAGAAGTAAGAGGACAGTATTGTACATGCAGCAGCTGGTGTTGGGACATTAAGGCTGCTGTTTCCCCCATCCAGACACCCAGGGCTTGAAGCCCAGTATAGCCAGCACTTTTCTGCTGGCTATGGAGAGCCCATGTGAGGGGTCAGAGCTCCCACAACCAGCTGCCATGGAGCATTTTCCCACAGCAGCTCCCTGCAGGCTTGCAGTGGAGGAGTCAGACATGTGGAAAGGGGCAGTGGCATGTCCATTGGGTCTGTCAGTTACACAGATGTGTTAGCAAAATGGCCCAGAGGTTAGGGTTGGCAGGTGCCTAGTTTTTGATTGGACAGTCTGGTTGAAAAGGGGACCTGGCAGTGTCTGGTCAGATGTGCAGGTGGGAGGGTACTTGCCCGTCTTCAGTCGGGACCATGTCCATGTCAGGCTGGAGCTCTGGATCAGAGGGTATCTGGTTGGGTGCGGAGGGTGGTGGTGAGGATCCAGCTGAGGAGGAAAGGGAGAGCAACAAGCTGTGGTAGCATAAGAATGAGTGGAACAGGACTTGGAAGAAGAGGTGGGGCACTCAGGGGAAGAGGCAGGGGAGGGGAGGGGAGCAGATCCAGTTGGGAGCAGTTAGAAAGTTGGCAATCCTAATGCTGGTATATGAGGCCATAGTAGCTACTGTAACTCATGTGCAGTAGATGTGGAGCAGCTGTATTGTTGTCCCCCAGGGAAGTGGCATTTGGCCCAATACACAGATCTAATGCTGAGCTTTGGAAGTCCTGAATGCAGCTGTGATGGCCTCCATTTCTTTTTGATCTGAAAATAATGTTAAGGGGAAGGATTCTGCCCTCTAAGGCTATGTCTAGACTGCAAGCCTCTTTCGAAAAAGAGCATCTAGACTACAACCAGCACTTTGGAAAAAGCAAGCCGCTTTTTCGAAAGACAGCACCCAGGCAGTCTGGATGCTCTCTTTCAAAAAAGCGCAGTTTGCATTACATAGGGCATTTTTTTGAAAGAGCACTTTAAAAAAAAGGCGTTCTTCCTCGTAAAACGAGGTTTTCTGTGGTTGAAGAAAAGTCCGTGTTCTTTTGATTTACTTTCAGAAGAACATGGCAGCAGTCTAGACGCAGGGGAAGTTTTTTTTTTTTTTTAAAGGCCACTTTTTTTCGAAAAAACCCTGTAGTCTAGATACACCCTATTTGGCTAAATTACAGGTCAGTGAGAAATAATAACATAAAACCAGCCGTGGCTGATGTAAGAAAAAATCATGCAGACTTGGGTGTTGGTTTTTTTTTTTTTCAAAATCTATTAATCAGTAGATTTTTTTCATGTTTATTTTCTAGCTGTTTCATTGTGATCATCCCTCTTTTACTCAGTTCATGTTTTGTCATGTTAGGAAACTTGACATGTTTTCTAAACTAAATGCCAAAATGCTATGAACATACTTTATCTATTGAAGGCCTTTGGGGACTCTACCTTTGTCTAGCATAGTGGGACTCTGACCTTGTTTAGGCCTCTGCACTATCATAATATAAATATGAAGTAATAATTGAAATCATCTGGTGCTTGCATTCACCTGCATGCCAAATTTGAACCCCACTTTGCTTTGGAGTTGCATTGTGTGAAGTTTGCATTTGTCAGAAAAAGAACAGTTGGGGGAATGACTCTGCTGTACAATTGCAATAAAGCATGTACTATTTGAAATGCAGAGGCAGCTTTGCTTTTAGATAGTAACTTTCATCTTGGCTGTGATGTCTGAAATCCTGTATATGCAGTCAGTGTGCAGCATGTACTGTAAAGAAAGTGTCCATTCCGTGATTTGAGTTCAGTATGTAAGTCCATTATTTTAGAGTGATTTGGGCATTTCAGTGTGATGGGGGGGGGGGGACTCACTTCACAAAATGGAAATTAATATTTGCACAATGAATATAAAGTGTCTTATTTCCCCAAATATATCCTCTTCATTTTAAAGTGATGACTGGCAATGCTACAAGCTCAGAAGACTTTACTTTATTTGGGTGTGCAGGGAAATCCAGTCTTTTCTCTGGTTTGCAGATTTGCTGTGTATGCTGCATAACAAGGTAAAGGGGACAATTACACAGGGTTGGTTTTAAAGGGATACTGACAGTAGCATGCCTGTTTGAATATGTAGATTAATAATAATGTTATTTCCACTAAATATGACTAGGGAAGGCTGGGATTTCAGAGAGACCTGACCAACTTATGTGGTCGGGCAGCAAAATTGCAGATGAAATTTATTGATGATGTGCATGGAGGGACTGGTTCAGAGTCATGTGGGACAAAACCGTGGATGAAATACTGTTTCCCCCTGTTCCCCCCCACCCAGAAGTCAATGTCATTGTTGGCAGTGCCTTCAGTGAAGTCAGGATTTTATCACTTTTTTTTCCCTAAAATAGGCAAGGATGTTGGGACAAGCCCTGAAATCAGGGTTATGTGCTCCTTCTTTGGGGCACACAGTGTACTTGCATGGTCAAGAAGCTTCCTAGAAGGGAAAAGAACATCCATCTAGAGCAGTGGTAACCAACCAATAGATCAGGAGCCTCCTGCTTGCTCTGCAGAGTGTGGGAGAGAGAAAGGGGGGCTCTGATATCAGTATCCCTCTCCCCTCCCGCCCCCCCCACTCCTGTACCCTATCTCCATACAGAGAAAAAGGGATGGAAGGAACTTGGCAATGCAAATCTCTGTCACTTTCACACAGTGTGTGTGTGTGTGTCTGTCATTCTTGCAAACACACACTGTCCTTCACTCTCATCTCCCGACCCAACCCACATACGTGGGTTGTTGTTTTTGCTTCTTTTACTGCTTGCAAAGTGTTAGTTTTGTACATTTCATAATTTTCATCTCTCACTTACACTTAGATTAAATCCTTTGAGTAGTGAGTTCTAAAATGCCTAACCTGTCATGACTGGACTAATTATCCCTGTGGTAATTGCTGCTCCTGGAAGGCCTTGGAGAAGGGGTGGAGCAGGGATGGGGCCTCAAAGAAGGGGTGGGAAGAAAGTGGGGCAAGGGCGGGAAGGAAGTGGGGCAAGGGTATTTGGGTTTGAGGTAGATCTTACATTGCTCTTAAATTGAAAAAGTGATCTTGAGGTTAAAAAGGTTGGTGACCACTGCTCTAGGGAGTCTGGGTGCATCGTTTCCTTTGGAGAGAAGTGAAAGCCCAGTTCATCTGACGAGCAGACTGAAGGGGGGCAGAGTGTTTATGGGAGCTGGAAGTCATCTCTTTTTCTCAAAACAGAGGTCGGGTAGATTTTTAAACTATTCTTAAGTCTTTTTTTAAAAAGAATGTGTGCACATATCCTGGGATGTGAGGGAGCTTTTGGGTGATGTCATTTTCATTAAAGTGGCCACTGAATCTGCTGTGAAGTTCAAACTTAAGCAAGATAGTGGACAAGAGCAATGACATTCTTATATAAGAAGAGTATTTATTCACTTGATGTTTTCCTGATCCTCCCAGCTTTGGCAGGAAAATCGTCCAGACTACATAAACATCCAGCTGTACCTCAGTCAAACAGATGGGATACAGGTATGTGGCTAAATGCTGTTTGTAAACCTAACTAGACCTTGTGGTTGGGGACCACACAAGCTGCCAGTTAAGCATAAAGTGGAATAATTGCAGATGGGTTAAACAGCGAATAGGGCCTAATTCTCTCAGTGGAACTGCATCACAAGTCCAGTCCCACAGTACTAGTCAACTGAAGTCTGGTAGCATTCAGTTGATTATCAAAGGGCAGAGATCCAGATCTCCCTCTTCTAGGAAAGAGGTCCTTCCAGGCCAGACTACAGACTAAACAGTTGGCAGGGCTTTATGGGAAACTTGCATCATTACTGGACTGAGGATCAGGCTGGGCTAGGTGGAATAATTCTAGCTCCAAACTCTTGAAAGTCAAGCACATTGTGAGAAATGTGCTATTTTTAAAAATCCCTGTTCCTTTCTTTTTGTTTTGGTTTTGTCTGAAGAAGTCAAACTTTGTAAAGTATAGCAGTCAGAAAATGTACTGAACTATTCTTTATCAGATGGTGGCGTATGCCAGTGTAGAGAGTTGGATTCATTTTCCATTGGCTGGAAGGAACCCTGTGTGGCCAATTATACTTGGGTGTGGTGATCTGCATTTTGCTTCCTTTTTGTACTGATATAGTACAGATACAAGGGCCTGATTCTTCAGATGGTTCAAGCACATGAAGACAGGATAAAATAGAGAGTTTTGATGAGAACTATAGCCTAGTATACAGGGCTTATTGCTAGATTCCAGCTAAATAATCTACCAGTAATAATTCTGAAGAAGTCTTCCAAATACTCACTGCTAGTTTCAAATAACTGGACAGGATATCTCTACTGGCATGGGATAATCCAATATATTATTGACAGGTAAGAAATGACTAGGTTCAAGTGAAAACATCCAAGGTAAAGCAGAATGTTAATGAAATGCATCTTAGAATATTTATTTGTACTGACTAGCTATTGAATTTACAATAAAACTTTTTTTTATGGCTGTTTGTTAGAAAAGGTGTTATCAAGTATAGAACTGTATACTACAAGGGCTAAATTTTGTCTTCAGTTACACTGGCATACATCCAGTTTTGGAATAGCTACTCCAGATGCCTCAAAGGAGCACGGCATGTAATTCTCCATTGCCTTGCAACTTGTGCTGTTATTGACACCGATCCAAAGTGACTGCTGCCAAACCAGAATAGTGTCACATTTTACTCATTTCTGCACTGATGTAAATGAGTGATGCAAGATACAGGATAACAGAGACTCAAGTCAATTTTCTTTTTTCAGAAAATGCTTTCATATGTGGTAAACTGGTTTAAGCTTAGAAAGTACTTTTGTATTAGTATAATAGATTGTTTAGATCATTTGATTATGGGGTGAATGTGGAAAATCAGATCAGATATAATTCTTCTCCAACCACATGTTACATTACATTAGAACAGTAAAACAAGGAGCACTAATGCAATGCAGTAAAAACAGGATTGGCTACATAAAGAGCTCAGCTGGGATTTTTAGAGAGTTAGAATTGCTAGAAGAATATTGGCGTGTAGTCAACCTGTGGAACTCCTTGCCAGAGGAGGCTGTGAAGGCTAGGACTATAACAGAGTTTAAAGAGAAGCTAGATAATTTCATGGAGGTTAGGTCCATAAAAGGCTATTAGCCAGGGGTTAAAATGGTGTCCTTGGCCTCTGTTTGTCAGAGGCTGGAGAGAGATGGCAGGAGACAAATCGCTTGATCATTGTCTTCAGTCCACCCTCTCTGGGGCACCTGGTGCTGGCCACTGTCGGCAGATAGGATACTGGGCTAGAAGGACCTTTGGTCTGACCCAGTACAGCCGTTCTTATGTTCTTATGGGTTCACTCTAAGGACCCAGCTTTGGTGCTTGATACTGTTGATACTGTTCAGAGCTCTGGTTGCCAGATGGTCTCCCCAAAAATACCGGACACCCGGTATTTTTGGTCGAGCAAAAAAAGAAAGGAACGCAGGATAAGTGGCGATCACAACCCCGCCTCCCAGCTGGGACTCCGCAGAAACCTGGCGGGGACGGAGCCGCCCACATCAGGCTTCCGTCCAGTGCCTAGCCGGAAAATTCAGAGAATACTGGACACTGCACATGTCTGGTATTGTCTGATTTTTATTTATTTTTTTTTTACCGGGCAGAGGGCTCAAATACCAAACTGTCTGGTAGAATACTGGATACCTGGCAACCCTATTCAGAGCAAATGTTAACCTATCATCTCAAGGTTTCCCTTCTCACTTTCTCAACTTCGATTATCGTAAGTGTTACTTGCACCAATAGTAAGTAATTGAGTGTTAATGGATAACCGGTTACTTGGTATTCAAGGAGCAGCCCCCTGCCTGCAGCCCACCAGGTCCCTGTGCAGGGCCAGAAGCAGGCAGCCCCGTGGGGAAGTGGCCAGCCCAGCAGGGAATCAGCCCCAGAAGCTCTGCTGGCACCGTGAGGGGCTGCCACCTCTGGCCCTGTAGCCAGAAGTGCCTGGACCGGAGCAACATCCTTCTCCCCACTCAGCTCCAAGCCATATTTAATCATTTATCCATTTAAACATAACATGTAACTAGTTAACTAATGAAATGGTATTTGACATCCCTAGTGGGCAAAAATACTTCAGACAGAAATGTAATTTTTTTCCTATATGGACAGTGTTCCTTTAAGGGTAGCTGTGAAGGCAGATTAGGGAGTGAGTAATGAAAATATAACTATTACCCGATATATTAATTGGCAAATTGATTTAAAAAGTAATTCAGAGACTAATAAGCAGTTATGTAAAAGACAGCACTGAGTCCTAAAGATAGCTGTTCAACAGGCAGGGAGCGAAGGCATTGATGTATAGAAATGGCTGCAATTTAAGTGTTACCGTTTTGTTACTTACTTCAGTTTTTACATTTCAGCTATTTGGTAAACCAGCAAGGGCATGTACAAGACCAGTAGGGAAGCTCTGAGTGAGGTGTAACTATTTACAAAACTGCACAGTGACTTTATTTATTGTTTCTCACAGAAAACTATTGGGGAAAAATATCAAGTCCTGAATTCAAGACTTTTGATTGGACGACCTCATTGGAAACTCCTTTTTGATGAAATAGCCAAGTGTAACAGACAGTAAGTACCAATCTTGATGGGTTGTGCTACAGTTTGAGGGATGGGAATTGTATATGTTTAATAAACAGCTCTATTTATATGGAAATGACTTTGGGGTTTATCTTATCATGTAACATTCAAACTAGCGATGTTGATATTATCTAATGTGTTGCAGTTGTGAGATGCAATGTAAAATAAAACCTTTCAGTTTGAGCAATCAGAGCAGTTCATCTCCTGCGACTAAACTGTTCAATGGCCCAGGCAATAAAAATTGTATTTCTGTGTCTCTACACAAAGATTGTGAATGTTTTAATCCTTTGCGGCAATCAGTATCTACTTTGCAACAGATGCCAGTTTTATGGTGAAAGATGAAATTGGTGTTTTGTGCAGTTACTTTTACGATTTATAGTTTGACTGATAGAAATGCAACAGTAAGACACTGTTCCTATCCTGCTGTGTTATGTCTTTATTCAGAGAATATATTTTCTTTGGGAGGTACCAGTGCTATTTTTTATTGAGAGCCGATTCTGTAATCGGTGCAGTACAAAGCAGAGCTTACAGTCTAAACAAGGCAGATGTAGAATAAATGAGATACACACCAAATTATTGACCCACCTCTTCTGGATTTAATTGAAACCAGCTGTTTAAACATAGTGTCAATGAGACTGGTTTCTGAGGATTAACTCTTGGGAATAACTGAGCCCCAGCACATCTTATTGATCTCAGTGTGAGTGCTTGGTTTGTGGTATCTCTCGGGGTCAGGACCTAAGATATGATCTATACACTGTGGTGCTAATCTTGCTGTTTCACCAGAGTAGCAAAGTGCCCCCCACAGTGGAGCCATGCTCCTTGTTAGGGAGTTAATGTAATGCAAATCAGTATATATTAATACCACTCAGTACTGTGCAGGAAGGAAGGCAGGAACTGGGGCCTAGCTAGAGATGTGTACTCCCTTTGCAACCAGGGGAGTAGCTCCGGGCTGTCCTGTTTTTTTTATGTTGCAGGGAGATAGGGGCATGCCAGAAGAGATGGGGGAAGAATGTGGGAGGGGTTGATCCTGTAATCACAGCCTCCTGCATAGTTTGGAGAATCTTAACCCTGTGAGTGTCATTCTTATTTCTTTCTTAATCTTTTACCCATTGGCTGTGTCTAGAATGGCAAGTTTTTCTGGAAAACCAGCCGCTTTTCCGGAAAAACTTGCCAGCTGTCTACACTGGCCGCTTGAATTTCCGGAAAAGCACTGACAATCTCCTGTAAGATTGTCAGTGCTTTTCCGGAAATATTATGCTGCTCCCGTTCGGGCAAAAGTCTTTTTCCAAAAGACTTTTGCGCAAAAGGGCCAGTGTAGACAGCACAGTACTGTTTTCCGCAAAAAAGCCCTGATCGCAAAAATGGCGATTGGGTCTTTTTTGCGGAAAACCACGTCTAGATTGGCCACGGACGCTTTTCTGCAAAAAGTGCTTTTGCAGAAAAGCATCCTGCCAATCTAGACGCACTTTTCCAAAAATGCTTTTAACAGAAAACTTTTCCGTTAAAAGCATTTTCAGAAAATCATGCCAGTGTAGACGTAGCCATTCTGTTTTTAAACAACCAGAATAATGTGAACTACCCTTCTTTCTCTTGTGAGATTCTTGCAAAGCCAAATGCACGTCACTTTCAAGACATTTTTTATTATTTTTCCTGTCTACTTTTCATCTCCTCGCTCCTGGTTAAATCCTCAAGAACCCCTTTTCCTTAGTCATTGTATCTCTGAGGTGCTCATCCCCTTGATTTCTAAGTAGCATATCTTGAATTACCTCAGTAATGCCTCTGCATCCTTGGCTGTGTACATCTTTCAGATTATTTGTAGACTTTTAGGATGCTCTTCCTCAGACCATATTACCCCTTTGCTAAGTCTGTATATTTGTTATGTAAGGCCACCATCCTGTAGACACTTTAGTTATGTGCTCTGTTTAGATAAGGACAGAAAAGTTCCATTAAGTTTTATGGAACTACCAGCTGCAAATTCTGTTTCAATAACTCACCCTATTTCAGTTTTTCACCTCTCCTACCTTTTGTTGCTTCTCCTTCTTCTTCCCATTTTCCAGTAACTCCCTCTGAATGGCCCTGGTGTAATATTCACACCAGTAAATAAAGGCAAGTCAAAGAGTGCCTCTTTTAGCCCAACAAGTCTGGCATTAGCATTTGGGATTTCAGACGAGTTTGCAGACACACAGGTTTGTAGTCCTGGTTTGGTGACAGGTATTTCCCAGTTTTTTTTATTTTATATTTCTAGAAAACAAAGAGCAGGTTAGACAAACACCAGTCAGGAATGGTCTAGATAATTCTTGAGCTTGCCTAATGCAGGGGACTGGATTAGATGACCTCTTGAGTTGCCTTCCAATTGATTCGATGGCTCTGGCTACTAAAAGTCCTACATAAATATGCAACTAGAGATGCTCTCATCTGTTCAGCCATATTGTTCGTTTTGGTTGCTTGAGTTACAGATGGAGAAAGCTCATATAAGGCCTGCTAGAACATAATAGTTCTGTGCACTAACAGTTTAATGCATCCAGCATTGAGTTCATATTTTTGTAGCTGAACTAAGAGGAGCAAAAGTGCACCATCTACTGTTGATATTTTATACCACATCTACAATCCCATGTATTCACACTGGAACAATTCATAGCATATGTTATGAATCCTGTTTTCAGGATTTTCATGTAATCTATTTATAACCACCCTTTTTTGTGGTTCTTGTATCAACAGAATAAAAACATGCTATTTACTTTTGAGATATTATCATAGCTTTTGAATTTTGCTGGAACCAAATGGCCCATGCTTCTTATACTGCCGAGAATGAACTAGATAGGAGAAACAAAAACAAGGAGGGAAAAAGGGTATGTAAAATAAGACACATTTTCTCCATGCTGGAGAAGAAAATCCTCTAAAAGGAATAAACAACATGGTTTAGAATCATAAAATCTCAAGTTCTAGCTGTGGCTCTTATTCTATTGCCAGTCATGTCATCTCTTCCTCAATTACGCCATGTGTAAAATGGGAATAATTATGCTTACCCTCCTCCTTGCCTCACAGGAATGTTCTGTGGTTTGATGGATTAGTATTTGCATAACATTTTGAAAATAGAATGCACTATAATTCACTATATCAGTGCTAACATTTACTTGGAAGGATGGCCTAATGGTTAGGGCACTGACATGCTTGGGACTTAAGAGACCTGAATTCAATTTCTGGCTCAGCCGCAGACTTCCTGTGTGACCTTGGGCAAGACAGTTAACCTCTCTTTGACTCAGTTTCTTGCTCTAAAATGCTCCCTATCGGTTAATGATTGTGTGGGGCTGAGATACTATGGTGATTATGGTCATGTAAGTACCTAGAATGACAGTGATACTGTATTAGTTACTCAGCAACTCGGTGTACTTAATTAAATCAATGGAAAAAAACATTTAATAACATTAGGGTTTGTATTAAATACACAATAAGAAAAAAGAAGATTCAAAGCTTACTTGCTCTTCTCCTCCTCTGCAACAGCACAAATTGTCTCATTTTCAGAAGTGTTTGGCATGAATAAACCCTTGGAGAACAGTAGCCAATAAAATTTGATCAGAACATCTAGAAATCAGGCCACTTATTTTTGCTCCCATTGTGAATAGAGTAATACCGGAGCATTATGGCAATGGAAATCAGTGTAAATACACAACAGTAGGAAGGGGGCGCTGAATGTGTGGGTAACACGGTAAACTATATGTGAATTATGGAAGCAGTATTGTAATGCATCTGCACAAGGCCTTCGTTTTGGATGCCCACGCAACCATATTTGTGACATTTCCTGACTTTTGCAATACTAATATTCGCTTCTCTTAGTTGTATGAAGTCAGTTGCCACCTATTATTCAAGTTACATAATTATGGATTTGGCTGGCTAACTTTAGATATCTAAATTTAAAAGTGTGGACCAAAGACTTTTTTGTATAATAAATATTCTTCTTTCAATGGCAGATAGTTCCATAATTTTGTCAGTACCCATAGATTATACTTTAATTTTTCTCATCAGTGCAGTTTAGGAGATTAGGCAATTAACTGCCACCGGAAAAAGTGGCTGTGCAGGCAGGATGTGGGGACTCGGAGCCCTGAGAGGCTATCTCCTGCTCCACCTCCTCCTGCCACCGCCTCAGCCACCATGGCTGCCAGAGCTGAACTTCTGTGAACAGCCAGGTTGAGCTCTGACAGCCACTGTGCCCAATAGCCAGCAGTTCATGGACTGACATTGGTCCATGCGCTGGTGGTTGGCAAACGCTGACTTACAGTATAATTTTATTTTAACTTCCTCCAGACTATATTGCTCTAATTTGTTTAAGTGAATGTCATGTGGGACTATGTTGAAAGCCTTACTGAAATCAAGATATATCACAGCTACTGTTTCCTTCTATTCACTTGGCCAGTAACTCTGTCAAGGAAGGAAATTAGGTTGGTTTGGCACAGTTTGTTCTTGATAGATCCTTGCTGAATATTTCGTATAACCCAATTTTTTTCCAGGTGCTTACAGATTGGTAGTTTATTAATTTGTTGCAGTATCTGTCCAGGTATCCAATCTAGGCTGATGGTGTATATTTTTTGTTCCCCTTTTTTAAAATGGGTATTAAGCTTTCCCCTCACTAGTCTTTTTGGACCTCTCCTCTCCTCTGGGAATTCTCAAAGATCATTGCTAGCAGTTCCAAGATGGCTTCAGCTAGTTCCTTAAATTCCCTGGAATTAATTTTATCAGGTCCTGCAGATTTCTCTAAATATTTTAACCTGTTCCTTACTTATTTCATAATATTATATTTATAATAATCTACTATATATTTTAGAGAGTGTTTTTGTCTGTCTGTTCAAGAACTTTTCCTAAATGGTAAGAGCTAGGACCACCAAATTCGTATACAGCTTCCTCTTACCATAATTTAAAGCAATGTACAGGTTTGGTTTTGCCAGGAAAATGGGATGTACTTCGAATGGGATTGCTTCCCATAAAACCATACAGAAAAGAAACAGAATCACCAGACTGGTGAAAGGGACTGGCTGGAGGCCAGGACTGCCCCAGTCCCGAGCCTCCCATTCCCCAGGTGCCCTTCAGGGATGGTGGAGTCTGAGGCGCCCCTTCTGTCCCGCCAGATTTGTACAGAGATGTTGGTGGCTGTTCCCCTTTGAAACTGTAAGGGAGAGAGGGGAAAGTGCACAAACATCATTTAGTTAAGGACCCAATCTACATTGGGTAAACTTAGTCCCATTTTCGTTACATTTATATTCTTTTTTTTTGTCTTTTTGTCTGTCCCCCAAACTGTGCCAAGGGATTAAATCAGATAGGATTACATTTTCAGCAGTGACAAGTAGCTGTGGATCAAATCTCACTAACTTAAATTACCCCCTCTCCTCCAAAAAAGCACACAAACTCCAACCTATAGTAGAAGAACATTAAGGTTTCATGGGTGAGCACTCAAAAGCGAGGAAATGTCATGAATAAGGTTTCATGTGCCTCCTTTCCTCCTTCCCTCTCTGCGTGTGCATTGCAATATAGTCTTCCATTTTGTTCAATGGGATCTGAATCTGGAGCATGTTCAGCAGTCCATTCTGAAGGTGCTACTTCAATGATTCAGTTACCATAAATCCAGTTTAACTGGCATTAATTGAAGACAATGCAATAAACTAATTTATAGCTGCCTTTTTTTTCTGGAGTGATGCAAAATAGCTGGAGTACATCCGTGAATCTAGGCTCATGATTTTTACCACAGATTAAGGGAAGGGGCATATTCTGGTTTTGGTTCTCATAAGCCTCTGACATGCATAGAAGGAGGGCAGAATTTCTGTCTAAATGTTTAAATCAAGAACATTACGGAAATAAAGGCATTCTGGTACTGCTAGAAGTAATGCATGATCTGGTGGTAGTGCTTCCTTTTAATTAGAGTATTGAATCCTAATAGACTTGATTGTGATTCCAGTGTGGTATAAATGAAAAGTTACACTAATGAAATAATTGAAGCAGCACAAATTTTTATAGTGAGGTTGATTAACCAGTGGAACACATTACCAATTGGAATGGTGGATTCTTCATCTCTTCATATCTTCAAATTAAGCCCACATGCCTTTTTGGAAGATGTGTATTGATCAAACACAAGTAAATGCACTCAGTACAGGGGCAACTGGGTGAAAATTCTGATTGCCACACCTGCTATACAAGAGGTCAGATTAAATGAACTAATGGTCCTTTCTGGTCTTAAAATATATTGTGTAATTCTGTGGCAAGTGAGTTTAGAATCTGGTTCTATGTACCTTTAGACAGGACTCTTGATTTATCTGTCATGTGGTGACTCACTTTTTATTCTTGATAGGAAAACAGTTGGCGTTTTCTATTGTGGACCAAATGAAATCTCCAAGGTACTCCACAAATTAAGCAACAGCAACAACTCCTATGGGACAAGGTTTGAATACAATAAAGAATCCTTCAGCTGAAAGTCTATGGGACTGACAGGACTCTATGGAAGAAAGAAGTGCAATTATTTTTTGTAAGACTTCAGAGTCAGAGCTTTGTGTTAAGCACACACAATGTACCAAAGAGTAGCAGGTTCTTATTTATGAATATTTAAAACTCTGAAACAGGGAGAGTTGAGCAGAGTACCAAGCCACATCAAGTGTTTATGCTCAAAGCCAAAAGGGCTCAAAGAATATTTGTTATGTTGGAAGGGATGATTCATTTATCAATGTATAAATTACTGGTAATTTTAAAAAAACAGGGAAATGCATAGTTGCTTTTATGGCTGATTCCAAAACAATCTATGGAATGTCTGAAATTTCTCCACTTCAGCTTGCTAACCTCAGTCCTCTGAAAATGGGACTGGTTAAATACCAGATTGATCAGAATTAAAAATGCTTTGCAAAACAGACTCTTTACTGGCACATAAATGAAATGGTTTTGAAATGGAGAAACTCCAGGCAAAAATATTAAATGATTTAAATATTGCAGATTGGGATTCTGCATATAAGATTATTCTCCCTAGCTGCCTCCATACTGAGTACTGTCTGGTAGGGCTATATGTGGAGGGTGCACCCCGGAGTGTGGGAAAGTGAGTGCAACCCTATGAAAGCTCCAGGCCGAATCCTATGGTAGTATAAATTTACAAGTGATGTGGAAATTGACCCAAGAGGATACACGGTAAACTGATATAACTTGCCCCAGGTTGACACGGAGAGGGTTTTCAGGAAGTGTATGATATATGCACATAGCTAGAGTTAGATCAGGAAAAGCAACTAGAAGCAGAAGGTAAGGTCGAATTTTGCTGCTGTATCCCCAAGTCAGCATGGACGTCACAGACCCTTTGCGCACACAACTGCAGGATGAATGAGTTCAAGCTGCACTTTTTAGGTTGCTGTTGCATTTACAACTCATGCACTCTAGAGTGTCTCAAGCTCACTCCAACCTCTCAGATGACTTAGTGGAGTGATGCTGAATGACACCGATATAACTGAGAGAACTGGGGCACATGTGTCATTGTCATCAACATTTTCTAATATAGGTAAGAATTAGCCTTAATTGCTGTGACTTTTTGCTTCGTGTGTGCTAATGGGAAGCCTAGCCCGGTCTACAGAATAATATTATTGTTTTTCTTTCCCAGAGCTTTTGAATAGCTTTTCAAATGTCTCTTCTACCACTCATTCCCAACCTATGCACAATAACTGCGGGAAATCAGAACTCAGTGGTCCCGAGGGCCAATATTCCCCCTGTTCCATTACTTTGATCTCCTTTATTTCTTCTCTAATCCTCCCCAGTTCTGTTTCCTCATGGTAAAGTTCTGCTCTGAGGATAATAGGGAGCTAAAGATGTACAAAATCAGGGTCTCATCCTTAGCTGGCACAGATCAGTATAGTTCCATTGATTTGAATAGAACATCATTAATTTATACCAGCTACTCTGGCCCATAATCCTCACACACTGCTCAAGAGCATCACCTCTGCAATGTTTGTGGCATACACTGAAGCCGGAGGGTGTCAGTGCCCCTCATAAGGAAGTGAGTTTTGCCCCCGAAAGCTCATGATACTATGTGAATATATATTTGTTAGTCTCTAAGGTGCTACAGGACTACTCGTTACTCATAACTGTGGCTTTCCTATATGTTAGCACGTTGCACTTTGATTTACTTTATGGCTCCCAACTCAGCTTTTTTTTTATCACCAGGGCTTTTTAATTTTCAGCACACAGAAGTGGCCCTGTACTGGTGTCTGATAATATAAAGGTCTGCATGACGAAGGGTGTATTCTTTCAGTAGCTCATATATTGGCTTGCTGTGTGTGTGACAAGTGAAAATGAGTTTGGTCTCTGCTTTTGCAGCTGCTGCTCAGGAGACGCCTTGACTGGCATAGTAGGACTGAAGGGTCTTGGCAGAGAAGTGTGGAAAAAATTGCCTGGCACTTGTCTGTGCCACAAATAGACAAATGCCCCCAACCCTTGACTTTACTTATCTTGAAGTGAATGAAGAGGGAGGGAGGATGGTTGTGTTCAGATTGGCTGGGATTTGCAATGGAACCTAAAAGAGTTAGGTGCCCAAATCCAATTGAAGTTCAATGGCAGACTAAATCCCACCCACTAATTTCTGGGCCTAATTCACTAAACGATGTGTAGATTACTAGAATTTCAAGGCCAGAAGGGACCATTCAGCTAATCAGACCTTCTGCAGATAGTTTCCACAATGTAAAACTGGAGAATGAGACTTTGTATTAATAATTTATTTTTCTATTGCCATCTGTTTTAGCTCAGTAGTAAACACAATGCTGCCAGCAGTCTGTGTAATCAAGAGATATTGTCTTACACAAGGGACGCAGGCTTGTGGTTTAGTTTATGACAAGTGATATCATACCTGCATTTGTTAACCCCAAGCAGTGATATACTGGTCATTCTTCTATTGCTTTAGGTTCTATAGCAACTACCTACAAAAATGTTTGTGGTAGCTTGCTTCCTCTCTGGCATGCAAAAAGCAACACTTTTTGAGATTGACACAGCTCCACTACAAGGGTTGTCTTATTATTAAAAGACTAATGAACTGTCCTCTTGATCCAAATGGTAGGAGAAACTGAACTTATAAATTTTAGGAAACTAGTGTATAGAAGTGAATTAATTAAACTCTTGGCTTAGACTTCTATCTAAACCATTGTTTTTTCTGATCTTGCAAGGGGGAAAGGGAGCATCACTTCGCTTCTTTCTATCTCAGTTTGCCCATCTATAACATTGGGTTAATATCTACCTCAAAGGGGTTTTGTGAGGCTTAAATTATGTTTTTGATGGCAGCGCTGCAACAAAAGGTGTGATGCAATGGTTTTGTATTTTTATTTGAATTATTTTTGTGGTGCTCCTTCAGTCTGAGTACTCTCTCTATAGTGTGGTGTGAATTGAAGAGGAGGCTCAAAGCCTGAATGACTTTGCTTTCCTTGAGGCATGTGTTTGACAGCAGCAAAAAGATGAAGAGATAGGGATTGTGACACCGAAATCTAGCTTTGTTGACTTTAGTAGCAGCAAATGTTGTTGACAAATAGATCTTTCTGGAGGCTGCACTGCACACTGTGCTTTAGAGTGCACAGACTGGCAAAAACCAGTGCAGTGCCCTTCTCCTACACAGCATTTTCACCCTTAAGCCAAGAAGTTATAAAAAATAACAATAAATGCCAGGAAAGTCAGTGGATGCTGACAACATTTAATTTCACATTTACGGATCAGCCACATTTACATAACTGAATGTCTCTTTGTGCTTTGAAACATGCCATATAAGCCAGGCTGTCAGCAGCTCCCTACTGTTAGGGAGAATCCCTCTGGATATTGCACCACTTCTTGCTTGATGCTTCACAAAGCAGCCAACCCACTAGCATTCTCTCAGCAGGTGCCTTTTCCTGTCTGCCTGATGTATCACCAATGGTCCAGTGCTTTTGTTTTTGTGCATTTCAGATGGCAGGAGCTCATCTCACCCCATGATCGAGGCGCGCGCGCACACACACACACACACACGAGTTGCTGAGTGTGGTGCAGAAGACTAATGCAATATTTACATTGATGGCTACTGATACTCACATCAGTAATCCCGGAGACTTTACTGTGACTGCTTGTGAGAAAGTACTCATCCTTGTGACTAGGAGTTGTATAATTGCACCTGCATGGGGTCAACTGGGGATCTGGTAGGGCTGGTAAAGGTTGAAATTCCTCTGTGCCATTTGCAGGCCTATTCCTGTGTTGCAGTGCCACACTTCCACAGGCATTCTTTCAGTCCCCATGCTAATACTAGGGGCTGCTTCTCCTAAGGATAATTGGATCTGGATAGTCAACATCCTGTGGCCTGTTCACAAATCTTTCACAGCCACCTATTTGGGGCTAGCATGGAGACCCCTTCCATAGCTCACAGGGCGTGCAGCCACACACACGGTCTTTAGCACTATCCCACTATAGAAGTTTTGTAGAGATCCTTGCCTAGAGGCTTTCTGCAGTTTGGTTGAGTTTCAGCTCTCATGTGCAATGGGGGCATCCTCAGTGAGGGAGAAGAGCTAAAGGTGAATGTTGGCATAAGAGCAAAGGGCTGTCAACCAGCCATGAGTACATTCAGGCTGGAAATTAGAAGGTTTCCAACTATCAGAGGAGTGAGGTTCTGGAACAGCCTTCCAATAGGAGTTGCTGCCAGAAATCTAACTGACTTTAAGATGGAACTTGCTAACGTAATGCTGGCAGGTGGTACCAAACCTGGAAGCTTTGCAGCTTAGTGCATGAGACTTTACCACTTGAGCTAAAAACCAGCTGCCTCTCATCTACAGCTGTAGTGCACACACATTCTCTATCTCTGTAAATAGCCTAAGTGCCACTACATGGGACTGAACCATGCCCAGTAGGTGTGTGGGTTACACTTACATTTATTAATGGGATTATATGATGGTTTCCTGCAAGAGCAGGGTCTGGACTGGATGACTCGGGAGCTCCCATCTGGTCCTATGTTGATGATTTGCATGTCTCTTTTTAGTAGACCTGCCTTGAAAGCAGCCACTTCTGATCTCATGCTGACATAACCCAATGGGCTTCACTAGACTATCTCTAGATTCACATCTGGCACAAACAAGAACAGAATTCATTTCATGGCTTTAAATCCTACTAGCATGTGAATGGAAGGAGAATAGCCAACTATAGGAGTTGGGTGGGAAAGGGTTGATAGCAGAAAAGGCCGCTTTAAAAAAAAAATCACAGGAATAAAGGTTTAGTAGGAGGGTTGTTCTCCACGCTGCAGCCTTAGAGAAAAACCTGTATTCTGAGAGAGCTAACCAATCAGGATGGTTTTAAACCAAAAGCCATTGTTGAAGAAACCTGCAGGAAACTAAGAAGTTGTTGCCAGTAGCAGCCAAGGAACAAGAAGACACTGTTATTAAAAAGCAAGGTTTATTTGTAACAAAATAACTTGTAGGCGGATTAATTTCTACCTCGGCAGAGCAAGCAGTCATTTCATATGCATGTCAGCATGATTTAAGAAAAAGCTGGATCTGCTCCTCTGTAGATTATACATCCCATTTTACTACCAGTTCTTTTTTTTTTCTCCCCACAAATTAAAGGCACCATTTTTAAAAGAGTTCAACACTACAGTTTAGAAGCTAATGAAAATGTCTCAGGCTTGCAAACTGAACTGACCTTTCCGCTAATGGAGGTGCATTTTGCATGGGTTTGTACGCACCAATTGGGAAGCTTCCACTATGCTCTGAATTGTAATATTGAATCTGATTTTCCTCTGGTGTAAATCAGGAGCAATAAGCTGCCATGAGGTTTCTGTCAAGATGCATTGATGAAAGAACATGTCACTAAAATGGTCCCCATATGAGCCTAATCCATCAAGGAGCTGAGCCAAAATCCTGGAGGTTTTAAAGATCTG